ATTAGTGGCTGAACTAATATTACTATATTATTAACTATATTAGTAATATTAGGGTTTGGTGGCATGTTTAAAATGTGTCCGTTTCCAACCAGAATTTGCTGTTATACTTGTGAGGTGTGTGCACCGAGCAAAGCATTTTTTCTTTTTGGGTGTGCTAGCCTGTCTCCTCTGCTTTGCTCTCTGTTTCACCATGTGCATAAGCTCCTCCCCCTACACAGAGCGAAAGACAACACTGGGAACAGGAGGAAAAAAAGCTTTTAGCCCCCCCCCCAAAAAAAAGCCTGCCAACATGCTGTATCAAAGTATGGTACGGCAGCTTCACTAAGGCGGACAGAGCGAGACTTCAGCGTGTAGTCAAGGCAGCACAGAAGATCATCGGCTGCTCTCTTCCCTCCCTGATGAGCATTTATTCCTCCCGCTGCCTCAGCAGAGCAGCAAACATCATCAAAGACAGCTCCCACCCTGGTTTTAACCTGTTCAGCCTGCTTCCCTCAGGGAAGCGCTACAGGTGCATCAACACAAAGACCCACAGACTCAAGAACAGTTTCTTCCCAAAGGCCATAACCACCCTTAACTCATACACTTACCGATAACACAGTCCCATCCCTCCATTTTCCCATTTCCCCCTATAAACCACCACTGTGCAATACCATGTTCTATGTGGATTAACCCGAACTGTATATACATCACACTATTTATTTACATATTTACTTTTTTACATCAGATTATATATTTTTACATTTCATATATTTTGTTTCTGTTAATACTGCTCATATGTATATAGTGCTGCAGAACTGTTGGAGATGCTCTGTATCTCACTGAACAACTGTATAGTGAAAATGAAGGCATTCTATTCTATTCTATTCTATTCTATATTGTCAAAACAAGGCCACAGCTCATTTAAAATGACCACTCCTGGTCTGAAATGTTTACACGATGGAGGGGTTAATGCTGCACACATTTTTCTTCTGTTCACAAGGAGATTTTGAGACTGGCTTTGTTACTTCCTGTGTCAAGAAACAAAACCCTAGAATTTAAGTTGAGATTGAATTTAGGCAGGAAATCCGTTATTAGGGCAACTGCGAAACAAGCCAGGAGGCTGGTGGTAATTTCCTATACTACTCTTGCATTGAGTACAGCTTCTTGACACTGAAACTGTGCTCAGCTGAAGGAGCTACAGCACACAAACATATACAAAAAACATCAGCTGACAGAGGAGATGGGAGCAGCTGTGATGTGACTTTGATAAAAAAGAGAGCAGACGACATGACAGATGCCATATGGACTCATTTGACAGAAGGACAGAAGAAAGACAGACCACAGATGTGTGTCTGTGTGTTTGTGTGTGTGTGTGTGTTCTGCTTGCAAAATGAGGCCTCCAGTGTTGGGAGTGGGAGGCATGCATAAGAGCGCTCTCAGGAAAAAAAAAATCTAACGCACCCTCATTTTCTTGCTCTTAATTAATGCTTGCAGTTTACACTTAAATCTGCTCTGACTGACATTTATTTCCTGTGACATCACATAAAGTCTACAGTCATCTTGTTTAAAAAAACATGCAAGTTTCATAAAAAACATGGCATTATAATGCAGTGACAAACTAATGTAAAGCAACAAACGAACAGATATTATTTAGGTTATTCAATGCATCAGCTATTCTTCATATGTACATGCAACAAATCTCTGATCTGGGAATCGGGGATCATTATATTATCCTACTTCATATAACTGTCAGAGCAGGAGCAGAAATGAAGATGGAGAATTAAACGTCTCTACGGGGCTGTGGATGAGGAGCTTAATGGCCAAATTGTCCCTGAGAAGTATTTTCTTAGGTTTTATTTTAAGTTATCAAAGTGTTTAAAGTATTTAAATCAACTAAAGCCTAAATGTGTTGAAGAAGAAGCAGAAGAAGAAGCAGAAGCAGAAGAAGAAGAAGCAGAAGAAGAAGCAGAAGAAGAAGAAGAGAAAGAAGAGAAAGAAGAGAAAGAAAGAAAGAAAGAAAGAAAGAAAGAAAGAGTATTAAGGGTTTTTCTTCACTGGGTCAGTGTCTGGCTGCACTGGATGCAACTCAGGGGTTAGAAGAAGGATGAAGTCACTTAATGATGCAACATTTTCTATTACAGGAAGGGAGCAAAATATTGAAAAAAAACTGATAGAACAAACAAAACAAGAGTTAAAATAGAAAATTTCATCCAGTTTTATTTTCTCCAGCAGCTTTTATTCTAATCAGTTCATTCATTTATAACCCGGTGTGCTGCTATCTACAGTTATTCCACTAGGAAATGATTTAAATATATTTTGGATCTCAGTGTTTACGTGAATGGACAGCAAATATTAGTCTTCATAATCCACAGAAAAAATAATGACAGATCAGGTATTGTTTTCTTAATTTATACACGTGCGTGTATCCATCTGTAATAAAGAAAAATCACTCTGGGGTCACACCAGGAACAATTCCAGCATATTAATAACTATTTGCTGTGGCGAACTCTTGTTTATAATGCAGCTTAGAATACAAACCTTAACTTCTGTAATTAGAAGCCCAAATTACTCTGGCACCTCCAAAATCAAAATCCTGGCACTTCGCCTGACATATGCTACTACATGCCTCACAATGAAAACGTACACTGCTGTGCAGCATGGTTAATAAATGAGAGAGGAAAATATCTAGCTGACTAGTCCAAAAGTGTGAACACTTAAAATTCGGTTAAAAAATCGGTGTATAATAGAAAAGAGGTCTTGCTAACTACTAAAACATCTTTGTTTCAATAGTTAGCTGCTGACTAACCAGGACGCCAACTTTTAATTTGTAGAGTCAAGTAGTAGAATCGATTCCCTCCCTTCTGGAGAAGCTTCATTAATGATTTGCCTTTTACAGTTAGATAACCAACTCTGAGACTATATT